TCGAGGACTGTCTTTAAAAACAAAACAAAACAAAACAAAACAAAACAAAACAAAAACGAAGGTCGTTTAGACTTTAAGACTTTCAAATACAATAATAAGATTATCAAGTCAATGATACTACAAGTGCTGACTTTTTAGAGGCAGAAATTTTGGGTTGAAATCTCACTCTAAAATTAAGGGTCAGTGGTTGTACAATGCAGGTTTCAAAGGGGAACTTAAAATATGAATATGATAAAAATATGTACAAAATAAATAGTGCGAAATGTCAGTTCTAAACCTTCTGTTAGGAGGGGCTCAGTAGTACCTAACGGGGAGCCCTTCCCTGCTCCCAGTGCACAGCCGCCTGGATCCCCCTGAGCTGAGGCCTGTGGGGAGAGGGCTGGCGCCACCCTGTGGTGCGAGGGAGCCACTGCCACCCACGGACACATCACCTCCTCTGGGTCAGCCTCCACTCCGCTTCTGGCAAGTGGGGTTGATACCCTAAACCTTCTGGAGTCGTGTGCTAGGGTATGGAGATCCCCGCCTGCTCCTCCACCCAGAAGCTCCTGGGGGCTCAACGCTTCACAACCTCGCTTAGCTCCAAGTCCTGTGTGGTAAGCCACCAAGTTAAATCCCAGGACCTCCAGAGCTTCCCAGGGCAGGAGGCAGGGGTATAAGAACAGCCTTGCTCTAGGCACGGTGACCCTGAGCTTCCCTGCAGAGCTCACATTACTGTTTTTAAACGTGCACTTTCTCTTAAGCTAAATTCTAAAGTTCTTGGTGAGTGTGAGTGATGCCAGGGGTACTGACTGGCTTGATGACTGTTTGACGCAGGGTTAGTGCCGTTACAGGACTCCACTACATACACTAATATTCCAATAGACCCCTTCAGCTCAGAGGGCAGAGAAAAAGATTCAAGTTTCTCTGAAAGAGTCTATAAGAGCCTCGTAAACACTTCTGTGCTACTATGGGACGGTCATGCTCAAATCAGGTAACTATAGTAAATGAACGTATTTAGAAATCCTGTCATGTGATTGGATTTCCAAAGTATTTGGGTAGAAAAAAAAGGAGATGTGAGATCATAAAATATGAACCAGGCATCACTGGAGGGAAACATTTCATGTGGAACTGTGCATGTCTGTCCTGCCACTGACACAACCATGGAAAAGCCTGGGGCCCATATTCCTGAGGCAGGAGAGCTGTCATCTATCTAATACATACTAAGTGATATTTATTCTAGGCACTGTGCTAGGAACTAAGGATAAACAAGTGAATCAAATCAATCATCCTTATCTTCACAGAGCTTTCGGGGGGGGGGGGAAGTAAAATGATTAAGTGCTAAGACAGAGAGGTATCAAAGGGCATAAAACAGGACTCTAATTAGTCCAGAAAGGCAGGTGTCAGGTAAGACACCCTTGCATCAGTTACCTTTGAGCAGAGACCCTAGGAGGAATTAACAAGGTGAAGGGCAGAGGGAGAAAGCACAGAATGTGTAAAGGTCCTGAGGTGAGAGAGAGCCTGGGATTTTGGTCAGAGTTCATAGAGCATTGGTACTGGAGGTTGGGGGAGTGAGGTAGTAGGAGTGAAAGGCAGAGGTCAAATCAGGTAAGTCGCTGAAGGATTTTAACTCGATAGAGACATGATCTTGCCTTCGGTTATTTCATGGGTACAGTAATGGGTGAGGTCCTTTCAGGACTCAGGGGTTGAGGTCCTAGTCATAGGGTCCTTTGAAAAAAAATGGTTCAGTCAGGTCCTCATCAGCATGAAGGCATAGCTTACTTCCTTCTTGTTTGCTTTTTTATTTATTTTTATTTTTATTTTTTTAAGTTCATGAGAGACACAGAGAGAGGCAGAGACACAGGCAGAGGGAGAAGCAGGCTCCATGCAGGGAGCCGGAGGTGGGACTTGATCCTGGGTCTCTAAGATCAGGCTCTGCGCTAAACCGCTGAGCCACCTGGGCTGCCCTCTTGTTTTGCTTTAGGGGAAAGATGAAAAGATTGCTTTTAAAACTGTGTCTTTCATCTTCCATTTATATAAAAGAGTACTTTTGTAAATGTGAGAAAATGTTGATAATCTTTAACTACAATAACATAGATTTATAAAAGTAAAGTGATACTAGAGTCTATGATTTCCAGGTACTCTGGGCAGTAAGATCCCAGAAATGTAGATTTATCATTCATCTTCTTGTTTATAATGCACATTCTTTTAAAAAATCTTTTTAATATTTATTTATTTTAGAAAGGGAGGGAGGGGAGAGAGAGAGAGAGAGAGAGAGATAGCATAGTAGTGGGAAGCGCAAAGAGAATCTAAAGCAGACTCGGTGCTGAGCCCAACAGAGGGCTGGATCTCATGACTCTAAGATCACCGCCCAAGCTGAAACCCAGAGTCAGATGCCCACCTGCTGTGCCACCCAGGCACCGTGATGCGCAATTGTTTTTAAATTGTTTTTAAAAGCATTATGTGACTCAAACTCCTAGAAATTATTGTCTGCATGTGTCCTTGCCCTATTATTATTTCACCAAACTTGTAGAACTGGCCTGATTTGCTTACTGCAAATAAAACTTTATTCTGCTATGGCTTTTTTTTTTTTTACATTCCCTAAATTATCCTCTACTGTTATATGTAAAGGCCCTTGAGAAAATAACCGGCCATTTACGGGTAACTGGTCCCCAACTTGAGGATGGGCTGAAACCAATGTTAGCATGGACAGGCTGTTTAAATGCCTTCTAGACCCTTTTTGATTGGTAAATTTGGATACATCTGTTTGTTTTTAAACATTTCTTCATCTAAAATCCTTTGCTTACAAAATGGGTACAGGAATGTATAATGGATAATGGATACAAGAATGTCTGTCTCTTTGGGGCTTTGTGATAATCGACAAAGAAACAGATAAAGCGCCTTGCATGGAGCTTCCCATGTTGAGCTACACAGTTCTACAAAGTTATTATTCGTTGCTCCTTTCTTCCAGGGGAACCGAAGCCTATAACTTTAATGAAGATTTCCGGTGAATTTAGATAGGGAGGCAGATTTTTGGATGGCTCAATGATTCTTTTTAAGAAGACAGGACGTCCATACATTCAATACTGTCGCACTTTTGAAACACTAATGCTTTATAAAATATTAACTGAAGTACTCTGTGTCTTCTCCTAGGATCCTTCTCTAATTTTATCCTGGACTTGTCCCTGCGTCATTTTCAAAGTCTTAAGATGACTGGTCCTTATATGCACCGATTCAGGTGGAGAGTGTTTTTTATTTCTCTTTCTTTTTCTTTCTTTTCTTTCTTTCTTCTTTCTTTCTTTCTTTCTTTCTTTCTTTCTTTCTTTCTTTCTTTCTTTCTTTTTCTTTCTTCCTTCCTTCTTCTTTCTTTCTTTCTTTTTCTTTCTTTCTTTTTCTTTCTTCTTTCTTTCTTTCTTTCCTTTCTTCCTTCCTTCCTTCCTTCCTTCCTTCCTTCCTTCTTTCTTTCTTTCTTTCTCTTTTTTCTTTTCTTTTTTCCTTTCCTTTCCTTTCCTTTCCTTTCCTTTCCTTTCCTTTCCTTTCCTTTCCTTTCCTTTCCTTTCCCTTTCTTCCTCTCCTCTCCTCCCCTCCCCTCCTCCCCTCCCCTCCCCTCCCCTCCCCTCCCCTCCCCTCCCCTCCCCTCCTCTCCTCTCCTCTCCTTCTCTTCTCTTTCTCCCCTTGTGTCCTCTGTTGACACCTCGTGGATTCCCTACGTTAGAACTCTAAAAAAAAGAAATACGCTTTAAATCTTGAAATGCCCAGTGCTTAACGGTAGGAGTCATGTTTCGATATTCAAAAACTTTGGAGGAGAGAGAGAGAGAGAGAGAGAGAGAGAGAGAGAGAGAGAGAGAGAGAGAGAGAATTTCATTTCCTCAATATCGAAGGGAAAATTGAGCGACACCTGGTCTGCTTTTATGTTCTTTTCAGTTTCTGGCGATAAAGATGCTGGGACAGTAAGAGGCAGCGGGGCAGAGGCTCGGAGCGCGGGGGCGCGGGGGCGCGGGCGCGGGCGCGGGGGCGGGTGGAGGGAGCGGCGGGCGCTGGACGCCCTCCGAGGCCCACACGGAGGTTCGCGCTCCCTCTCCTTCCCCTTCCTAACCGCCGGCGGCCTGTAATTAGCGGAGCAAGTCGGTCTGAGCGAGGCACATCACCGGCTTTCCGCGAAATGATTATGTCGCTGCAGCTCTCGGACACGTGCGCCTCTAAGCCTGAGACACACAGAGATGTTTTTCTTTCTCGTGGCCGGGGGCGGGGGGGGGGGGAGAAGCGGGAGCGGCGGTGGTGCCGGGAGCAGAGCGGCGCCCGGCGCGGGGAGCCAGCGGGGCCCCCGGGGGCGTGGGAACGCGGCGCACAGCGCCCCGCGCAGGCCGCGCTCTGGCGACCCCAAGGGGCGGAGCGGAACGAGGCTCCCCTCGACCCCCCGCGCCGCCCCGCGGCCCCACGGTGCGCCCCGGCCCCCGCGGCTCCCGGGCCCGGCCCGCGGCGCCCCGTCGCCGGAGCCCGCGGGGGAAAGGGCCCCGTGTGGCTGGAGCGACGCCCGACGCGGCCTCCGGGGCGGGGACAGCCCGGGCACCTCGCGCCGTCCCGCCCAGAGCCGGCGCGTTCCGGGGGTGGGGGCCGGGGCGCGCGGTGCCGGCCGGAGCGGAGCGCGGCCCCGCGTCGCCCGCGGCTCGGGCAGGTGCGCGGCGCGTCGGCCCCGGTGCTCGCGCCCTCCCGCCCCGCGGCCCGGGCGCCGCGCCCGCCCCGCCCCGCCCCGCCCCGCCCCCGCCCGCCCGCGGGCCGCCCGGGGCAGGGCCTGCAGCTGCGGCCGGCGAGCGGCGCGCGGGGCATGGGCCGGCGGCCGGCGGCGGAGGGCGGCTGAGGGCGGCCGAGGGTGCGCGCCCGGCGGGGACCGAGCCGTCGGCGGCACAGAGCCGGCCCCGCGGCGGGCGGCGGGCGGCGGGCGGCGGCGGCGCTGCCGGGAGCGATGCGCTGAGCGCGCCGAGGGCCGAGCGCGGGGCTCGCCGGCGGCGCGGGGAGCCGACCCCATGGAGCCGGCGCGCACCGGGCGGAGCCTGCGGGCGCCGCCGCCGCCGCTGCCGCTGCCTCTGCCGCCGCCGCTGCCGCTGCCGCTGCTGCTGCTGCTCCTGCAGGTGGCGGGGCCGGCGGGCGCCCTGGCCGAGACCCTGCTGGACGCGTCGAGGGCCGTGGGCGCCAGCTCCAGCCCGCCCAGCCCCGCGAGCGTGGTGGCTCCCGGGACCGCGCCGTTCGAGGAGAGCCGGCTGCCGGTGTTCACCCTCGATTACCCCCACGTGCAGATCCCCTTCGAGATCACCCTGTGGATCCTGCTGGCCTCCCTGGCTAAGATAGGTGAGCGAGCTGGATCCACCCGCTGGGGTGGGGGCGATCGCGACGGGAGGCGCGGGTGGGCGTCCGAGCCCGCGAGGTGACCCGGGGTCGCGGCCACCCCCCCTCCCCGCGGACCGGGGCGGGGGCGACGACGCAGCTTCTGTTCGAAGGGGACCCCGGGAAGAGCATTTTCATGCGTTGCTTCCTAAGTGGACATTGGCCTTGAAATAGCCCCAAACTCTCAGCCCCTCACAGACCCCGCCGGGGCCTCGCTGCTTACCGTTGCCTCACATGCCCAGCGGGACACACCTGTTTGCCCAGGGAGGAGGCGACGGGGCTGAGGCTGTTGCACCGGGAGAGGGGCGCAGGCTAGCACGGAGGAGGCTGAAGCAGGAAAGCCCTGGATGCTCTGGGCAGACAGAGGCGCCTTGGCCACGACACAGACCCCGCCATGCACCTGACTAATGAAGTGCCTGGGAGGGGACCAGGGACAACCGAGTGCCTGCAGCTGCGACAGGAACACCCTGTCTCCTCCCTCCTTTGGGCCGAGGCTGTCACTCTCCAGGAAGCGTTTTCTTAGGTGACCCAGGCCAGTGAAACGAGATGCATATTTAAAGATAACCCACTTTCCAAACTATCTCTTTAACTTTCATTTGGAAAGCAGAGGCTCAGAATGTATTTTCTTATCTTCATAACCCCTTCCCCCCCACCCCCCACCCCCCCACACATAAACTTTTGTTGTGATCATGGGGCTTTACGTTATTTTTACTTGATATTTTAAATACTTTTTCATTTTAAAATATGTCAGCTACTGTTAAGATTCAAAGAAGTTATTGGGTCAAAAGAGCGTCTGCGTTATTGCATACATCTTCTGCATTTGTCCTGGGAAAGATCCTGTGCTGTTCAAGTAAGGCAGGTCCCCATAAAGGATGAAGACACCTTGCCTGTCATCCTCCAGCTTATTGATTGGCGGGGGAGATGTCACACACACCGGCCGCCGTAATACAGGGAAGTGCTAAGTAGTGTGACCCAGTCAGAAAAGATAATGTGGCAGTGTAGGAGGCAGAAATCACTGCCTCCTGCAAAGGAAGCATTTAAATGGGGTTTTCAGGGATGACCAGGATATGTCAGCTGGAGATGAAAGGGAACAACGTTCCAGAGAGAAATAAACAAGGCATTCATTGGGGGGGAAGGCACAAAGCAAGCAGAAGAGATGGTTTGTACCGGGGTGGAAGTTGAGGCAGGTAAGCTCCATGGCAGAATAAGCTAATTTGATTCTGTAAGTGCTGACCAAAGGAGGCACATGCTATGTTTAAGGACTTTGCAGTCTGCAATTGCCTGGCTTTGACATGGTTGTATTAGTTGTGTGCTTTAATTCCACCTGAGAAATAGAAGCAGAGGAAATGGATTTCCCCACCTATCCAGCAGGTATGCACATTTGCATGAACTTGTTGCCGGTAATGATAAGCTCAGGTACTATCTCCGCATATGGTCCTCACAACATGTGGGAAGAGCAGATATTAATACCCCCCCACACACACACACACTTGGTAGAGGTGGAAACTGAAACTCCAGGGAGTTTACATGAGGTGCCCACAGGTATACAAAGTGGGGAGCCCTGTCCACTCTCTCTCCCAGCCTCCATCACTGGCCTAGTGCTTGTGTGCCCTGTTTCCATTACTGCTTCTTGGTTGCCATTTCTATTCAATTACAACTCTTTGTTTTGTTCTTCGCTCTCAATTATTTTAATCTAATTAATTACACTAATAACAGCCGCTGGTAGGCACTTAAGTTCATTATCTCTAATTTTCACAACCATCCTGGGTAAGGATGATTACCCCGTTTCCTATGCAGGGAAGCAGAAGTGGGGAGGTTACCTTGCTGGTGGGTGGGGAGCCAGGATTCCACCCAGGTCGGCCTGATGTGAGTCTCATGTTTGTGTCTGTCCTGGAGGCTTGTTTTCTTACATGAGGATTAAATGAGACTACCTATGTTTAACATTCTTAGAAAATCCTGGGCATGGAAGAAGCGCTGAATATTTCATCATTAGCAGGAGTGGAAGAGGAGTGACAGTAGCCTCACGCAGTGCTCTGGCACCGTGTCTCCTTTTCCACTGTGCTGGGCTACCTCCTGTCTTTCTCTGTTTCTGTTTTAGGCTCAGCCTTTTCCAGGTGTTCTTATTGCATGGATTGCTTTTTCGTACTTGGTCTTTTTCTATCATGATCTATTCATCTTGTTTGACCTTATGTGAATTGTGTAATATTTTATTAAAATGCTTGTATGAGTTCATAGTTGTATTTATTGATCTGCCCATTGGCAGGATAGATGATAGATAGATAGATAGATAGATAGATAGATAGATAGATAGATGTGTTTATATTCCCTGGTACTTGCTGTTCTCTGGATCTTTCAGCCCACGCCTCCCACCAAATTCTCAACTTCACTGGCTACCATCTCCTTTTTCTCTCCTGCATCTGGGGCAACACAGAAATAGAAATACAGACAGATGTTCATATGTCCCAACCACAAGTGTCTGAGCACAGAGACCCAAGTGGAGATTGCCATGGGCGGGGTGAAGGGTGTAGTTCCCAAAGCAGCAAGTGTAATTTTTTACATCACCAAAAGCTGGCCCTTGGAGGTCTTTCCTAGGTTTTTCCTGTGTATAGTCCAGCCCTGTCCTCCTGATGTTCCAGGGTCCTCTGTCCTTTGAGGAGCCTGGAAATGCCCAGATATCCCCCACCATCTCCCCCAGGCCCTAAACTTTCTGTTGCCTTTGGGGACGACTGTCCTTGTACTGCCTTTCCAGCCCATTGAGCCATATCTAGTCATTCAAATTCTATTTTAACTTCTGCACTGGAGAAACTGTTATTTTGGGGTGACTTATATGACTACTTATATGACTTATTTTGCTCATATTTGGGGCAGGATGATGAATTGAGCTGTGCAGGGGACTTGACACAATGAGATAACACATGTGTTAACTTATGCCACATGCTGTGGTTTCTATTTGGGGCACTTTTATGCCGTGAACCCAGTGTACTTGAACTTACCTGCCACAGAGAACATGAAGACCCACTGCTAGTGATTAATCTAAATAAAGGTAACAGGGTGCCCCAAATGGAGGCTCCTAATCACATCTGTAGGAGGTTTATATCATTCCTGATGGTGAATTCAGAATAGTTTGCTAGATAGCAGCACAATATAATCTTACAAATATTGCAGTCAGAAGTGAGCAAGTGCATTTTTGGCAGAGTGTTGAATGATTCAACTTTTCATTGTTTTACCTGGTTATCAGGGAAACTCAGTTTCTGAATTATTTGGTCAAAAACAAAGTTCTGTAGTCATGATGACAATTCAAATGCATATGTGAAGTAGGTTAAATAAATATCAACATAGCAAATTTAGTACACCTTTGAACCGTCTTAGAATTTTGGGAGGAAACATTTCCCAATTTGTTTTTCACTTAGATCCTTACACATGTGAACTTGTATTGCTCCTTTTAATTTTGAATATTTATATTTTGAATAACAATTGACTTTTTTTTTTTTAACAGAAACACACGCCTTATTTGGTAAATCCTATACACAGGGGTAGAGTTCTGCAGCATAGAATAATAGCCAAAGAACTAAGAAGAGGAACATTTCCTGGAGTGTTCTAAGATGGTCTTCTCTGATTTCCTTGCCCATGAAGTGGATCAGTGGAATTTGTCCTAAACTGGGTGAACTTGGGCATGTATTCTTCCCTCTATCAGAGTTCAGGGCCAGAGCACTGGGCCTCTGCTGTTTAAAGCAACGGAACTCTCTTTCTTGTCCACAGTGGCTTCCCAGATGTCCCCTCACTTATCTTGGAGGCTTGAGCTGGCCTGTTTGCCTCTTCCAGGTGTCAGCATGCATTCTGCCCTGTTCATTTCCTTAACCCTTAAACTTGGGGTTAGGATGCAGAATTTTCCACTTCCCTCTACCCTGTTGTCTTGACATTAAGTAACTTGTAGTATTGTTTTAAGGAAAAGGCAAAGCAATTTGGTCCATGAAGGTTTCTCCTCTGGGCTCTAGCCTGTCCTGATTTTAAATATGAAACCTGATAATTTCTACAGTTGATATCTATCTGTATTTGCTGAGACCTTGATCTCTTGATCTGGTTCTCTTTGTTGTATTTGGTTTTCCTGAAGCATATAACAGCAGCTGGTTGGTCAGCGGATTAATCTCATGATTTTTACCTATTTTTCTGAACCACATCTCATTTTGAACAAATTTCTGAAGCTGTCTTCCTGATGGCATGTGTTTGTTCTTAATAAAGCTAGAAGGAGAGTTTTGAATTCTTTTTGTCTCAAAGCTTCCATCTTTTCTCTTTCGGTTAACCATATATTTTATGCTTTCTGTGTAAACAGCTCTCTCGTATTCTTTCTACAGATCATTTTAGGTGCCTTTTAGAATTTTATCACTGCCCTCTAATGCAACAGGTAATTTTTCACCAAAAATGTTACTCTCTGTATCAACTTCCACAATGACAATAATAATTGTCATTAATGGGATACTTTTTCCAGAATTTTTCACATATTATGAAACCCTAAAATTATACAAAGAACATTTTGTGTAAGTATATTTATTCCTTGTAAGGTTGTAAAAAGTTACTTGTAAAACCAAATGAATTTGTTGATTTGTATGTGGATAGATTTTTATCAGTAATTCAATTGCCTTTAAAATTTGTAGTTCTACTTGGCTTATCTATCTTTTCTTCAGTCAATTTTAGTATTTATGTTTTTGTTTTTCTGGAAAATCATTATTTGAGTTTTTAAATTTATAGGAAGGAAATTATTTTGTATTATTTAAAAAGTATCTACATTATCTGCATGTATTGTCCTACCTTTATATTCCTAATGTTGTTATTTTTGTTTTTCTTTACCTTGAGAAAAATTCTCAGAAGTTTGTCTATTATATACTTTTTCAAAGAACTAGATTTTGATTCATTTTAGTTTACCAATTTTTTCTCTTTATTATTTAGCTTCTCCTACTGTATTGGCA